CTAACTCTATAAAATAACTTTTTGGTAGTTTGATTGGTATGGCACTGAATAAGTAAATTAGCTTAGGTAGGATTGTCATTTTTATTACATTAGCTCAGCCTACCCATGAGCAACTGATGTTTTTCCAATTATTCAGATCTGATTTTATTTGTGTGGAATTTTATTTTTAACCAGAAATCAATGTCAGGTTCACTGACTATAGTTTGCCCATCTCCCAGCTAGTGGCACCTCTTCTACCCACACTTATTCCTCAGAAATCACCAGTGGCTAGTCAGTAATCACATCTCTAAGTTGTTCCAGTGCTCACAGACATAATTAAAGTGGACTAAGTGACTGGAACTCTTCCAGGTCAGCTCACCATTGTCATCTTTTGCCTTTTGAGTCTCTTATAAGCGTTTGTTTCATCCTTTCCAGTACAAAATTCATTTTCTTTGGTAGAAAAGTAGACTTAACATATGAATTCTACAGTTGCGTCTTATTTCTTCTAAAGATTTTTTAAATTCGGTTTTATTTTCAGTTCTGGATTTTTTCCCTCCCAACTCTCACCCCCCATTCGTTGAGAAATATACTTCAATCTGCACCCCTTTATTCGGAGACGAACATCATAATTTCATCGCCAGGCCTCTGGGGGTTATCATTGGTCATTGTGTTGGTCAGAATTCTTGTGTCTTTCAAAGTCGTTTGTCTTAATATTGTTTTTGTTATATGGATTGTTCTCTTGGTTCTGTTCCTTTTCACTTTGTGTGAGTTCATGCAAATCTTTCAAGGTTTCTCTGAAATCATTTCCTTAATTTCTTATAGCACAGTAGTATTCCATCACGTTCATATGTCATAACTTGCTAATTCATTGCCCAATTGATGAGGTGCCCCTCCAGCTTTCCTTTCTTTGGCATCACAAAAAGAACTGCTATAAATATTTTTGTACGTACGGCTCTTTTTCCTCAATTTTTATCTCTTGGGAGGGGGATGATGGTAACATACCTAGTAGTGGTTTCATTGGGTCAAAGGGTATCCACACTTTAATGGTTCTTCAACACATTTCCAAAATGCTTTCTAGACTGACTGGACCAATTCACAGCTTCACCAACGGTGATTGACTTAGTTTCTAATTTTTAATCTTTACTTCAAAGGCCCTTTATCGAACGTAATTTTTTATTACGTTTTGCTTGGTGTGTTTCTGCATTGACTCATGAGGTTTGTAATGCCCTAATACACGATCAACTTTTTGAAGGTTTCACCTTCCTTCTGATCTCTTGTTACCTTCTCAAGCACCTCAAATAGGTGTACTATTTCTGCCTTGGTTTGCTTCCTTGGTAGCTAAAGCACTTTTTTGGGCATCTTAACTTTGATTACATTATTTTGATGAATACTGTGATTATGACTTCTCTTCATTATCCTTAGAAGAACTTGTCAGGGGCAGCTAGGTGGAGCGGTGAATAGCATGCTGGCCCTGGAGTCAGGATCTGAGTTCAAATCTGGCCTCAGACATGTAACCCTAACTAGCTGTGTGACTGTGGGCAAGTCACTTAACCCCAGTTGCCTTGGCAAAAGGAAAAAGAACTTGTCATACCATTGCGTTTGTTTCGTTATTTGAGCTTACCTCCATTTTTATCTACGTCTTTATTAAGTTTGCTTTAGTTGGTGAATCATAACCTATTCCTCGAGTTCCCTGATCATTCCAGGATGAAATGATCTGTTTTCTGAGTTTAAGAAGTGTTTCCTTTTCATATTGCTCTTATAACTTTTAGCAGAGATTTCTTATTGTCATTATTTGAATATATGCTTTAGCTTCCTGGCAGAGAGTAAGCTCCTTGAGGGAAGAAACTAATTTTGGTATTCTGTGTAGGGCCTTGCTGCCTCACAAATAAGAATTCAATAAATACTTAATCAATAAAATGTATATTTCTTTCAAAGGGAATTTTCAAAAAGATCTTGTACCTTGTGAGCTAATTCTTTTATCCAAATGGCACCCTTCAGTGTACAAGGGTAATAAGTTACCGGTTGGGCCTTGAGTGACTCAGTGGAATTGATGCCCTGCTGAAATAACTAATTTATAGCTAATGATGATCAGTTGAGTATCATTGTACTAAATCCCTCATGAAAAGCTTTGCTTTGGACCTGGATTTTCCTTGCAGTTACTTTAAAAACATAGCTCTCTTGGCTTTTGAGAAGCAAAGATTCTTTTACTTCCCTGTTAGTAAAAACATTTTTTTTTGGGGGGGGGGAATTCAAATAGGTGAAATGTAGAGGCATGTTTTTCCCCAATACACCATCCTTTTTATCCGAAGTTTAATTCCCAGTTTGAGTACTGAAGACCTTAGGTAATGGATTGTCTTTTTCACCCTCATCTAATCACTTTTTGACACTGGATAGGGCATGTTGTGAATTTTAAATTAGCAAATGACTATTTTGTTATAAGGTGTCTTAATTTCTTTTTTCAGATTATCATTCAGGAAACCTCAGATTCCTATTCCTGTTCTGCCACTTACGGGTCAGCTCTGCATTAACGAAGCAAAATGGATAATTAACCGTTCTGTCTCACTGTCCACTCGCTGCCTTGTTTTGGCTTCTGTTTTCTTTTCAGACAATAAGTCTTGGCAAGGCCGCCCTCTCCCTATTGGATGAGAATAGTTGTCGGTTTTTTTCCCCAAAGCCATTCGATATTCTCAGAGATTGATGACATTCAACAGATGTGCCTTGCTTTATGGCAATAGATATGTTTCCTAAAGGTCTGTAAATCACACTTGTACAAATTGAATCATGGCTTGTGGGAGCCATGGGAGCTTACTGTTTACAGGGCTCTTCCCTGGAATCTTTTCACAGAAATGAAAAATCCATTCCTAGTGTGAATAATTAGTTGAGCTTACCTGTTTTCCTAGTTTTGATTTTTAGATGTCAATTCCAATGCTAAATTGAGATCAGAAGAGTAAAAATAAGCCAACATAATAGGGAGCGGGTGGTGATGACAGACTGATAAAGTTCTAATTGAACAGTCAAGGTCCCAGGGGGTCTAAAAGGGAAGCGCTTCATAAATGTATCCAGCTTAAATCCATACAGATTTGTAACTAATTAAAACTGACATAATTAATAGGTGTGAAAATTTCATGTGTAAACTTGGTAAGTGATGATAGAGGGAAAAAAAGTTTGAAGGAGGGATTAAAGACCTGCTTTAGGCAGTTTCTCAGGAAATAAATTGAAGTAGAAGGTTGAAGCAATTATCTAGATAATTTAGGCAAAAGTCTCCAGGTATTTCAAGCCGAAACTCACCCTCCACCTGGCTTTGTCTGTAGACACAGTTCGATAATACTATATCCTTCAGGTTGGGGCCCATGTGCCATTTCATCCACTCAGTTCCCACACGTGCTTCTCTGTTTTGTATGATTATTCTTACAGAGAGGGCAGGAAGGGAGAAATACTGATGGCCCCCTCTTCCAAAGCAAAGTGGAAAATTGAGAGGACTGTCCAAATAATTCAACAATTTGGGATTTCCTAGTTCACAGGTGGGGAATCTGTGGCCTAGTAGGTCCTTGGGTGTGGCCTTTTGACTGAGTCCAAGTTTTATAGAACAAATATTTTTATTAAGGGGATTTGTTCTGTGAAGTTTGGATTCAATCAAAAGAGCCAAACTTGAGGGCCTAGAGGGCCACACGTGGCCTTAAGGCTGCAGGTTCCCCACCCCTGACTCGTACTATAATAATACCATTGTAAAAGCTACTAATTTTGAAAGAATTAAGTCTGATCAACCCATTATTCCAAAGGATTGATGACTTTGAATATTGCCTACCTCCTGAGAGAGAGGTGATCCAGCAGAGAGACAGTGTGAGACAGACAAGCATGTTTGGCTGTGGCCAGCATGGGGGTGTGCTTTGTTTGTCTGTTTGTGTTTGTTTTGGGGCCCATGTGGGGAATAGGAAGAAGAGAAGGAGCAGATAGATGCTTGTCAATGGGGGGAGGATATTTTTTAAAAACCCTGTCCCAGTTTCAGGGTCTCTGAAAGAAATATTATAAAAAACTCCATATCTGGAATTTAAAGGAGGTTCTGCTCAGCTGTTGGCTGATACCCAGCCCAGCATTCTTTCTCTTTTATTTTAAAGGCCACTCATTTCACTTGCTCATGAATGCCTTTGGCCATTTTCCATCATTCTGGCCCCATCAGTTTGCCCGTGGTGCTCTCATCAGTATTTTGTGTATTGGTGAGAGCCATGGGATAGAAGTAGATACAGTCTGAAGAGTGAAGGTCCAAAGCCAACTCCTGGACTGGGAGTCAGAAGCACAGTTAATTACTATAAATGTGACCTTGCACAAGGCATGCAACCTGTCTGGATCCCAGCTTTTTCCTCTATAAAGTGAAGGGCTTGGAATTAATGGCCTCAAGGGCCCTTTCAAGCTGTAGAACTGTGAAATCATAGAAGGAAGTGCTATGATTGTCAGAGGTACTAGAACAACAGTGCATCAAGAAAGTTCTGGATGCTCAAGTCACTTAATCTCTCTGGGCCTCAGTTTCCTTGTTTGTAAAAAAATAAAAGAAGATTTAATGCAGTGATCTCAAAGGCTCCTTCTATCTCTAGCATTCATTGAGCCTACGAAATCATATTGCTGCCCTTTATATTCCATTATATTTGTTATTAATGCCTACACAAAACAGAAATTCAATGAATAGATTTTCCCATAGCTGATCTACTTTTCAAGTGTAAAATATCACAAAATGAAAATGTTACATTGTAAATTTATTATAGTTTTTTTTCCTGAATAAGAGAGGTCGTATTATTTTTAGTAATCTTTCATTAATATTAAAGGCCTGTAAGATATAAAATTTCTAACTTGACACTTTTTTAAAAAAGCAAAATGGTAGCTCATACTGGGGCATTTAAATAATAAACTTTCTTCTGGCATTAGTAGTCAGTATCCGTTTTGGAATTCACAGGCTAAGATTACTTCAAGGTATGTAGTCTGGAAGAAAATTATTACACGTAGTCATTTCTTTTTTTTTTCCCCTCTAGATATTCGAATACCATTAATGTGGAAAGACTCTGATCATTTCAGTAATAAAGAAGGTATGTATAAAAATTTTCTTAGTTTAAATCAAACGTGGGATTATTGAAAGCCAGTCTGTTTCTACAATGAGATGCAGATATCATTTGATTAATTGAAAGAATTTTGCTGAATTATTTAACAGACTGATACCGTTTCTCAGTTGTAACTTCTCACCAATAAGGATTATGTGTATCTAGTATATTTTTGGTTATTGCTAAGAAAATGTGCAAAGCTATAGTTATGGTTAAAGTAAATAGGAGAGAAGTCATGAGAAGGAAGAAAGTTGATATTTATAATTGGACTGGCAGCTAGAAATACTTTACTGCCTCTTTACTTATTTATAACTCATTCCAATATTTCAGAATATGTAGCACAGGGTAGGGAAAGAATCTGCAGCTTAGTCTCTGATTTTCAGCATTTCGTGGCGTCTTGGATGGTTTTTACAAATTCATGTACTTTCCAAGGTCACGGAGATTAACCCCAAATCATTTCCAGCTGTTATCCAGCATAGCCTTCACCTTTGTTGTCAATGAGTTCAGAAAGCCCACAAAGAAAAAACAAAGATCTTTTACCTAGTTCACTTTTTCTTCTATATTATATTAGCATTTTTTCAGCTGATTGATATTTCTTTAATAACTGGATCACATTAAGCGTGATTAATTTTGCATGGAATGGTCTAAAATTTGGTTAGTTTTCTATTTCCTTTAAGCAGTTATAGGCGCTTTTAGAAAGGAGCGTGTGTCAAAGAGGAAGATCATCTTTCCAATGATTCCAGCAAAATCTCCCTTCTGATTTGCTACATCAAGTCTCCTCTATGTGTGTTTAGAAGCCAGATAACTCAGCTTGTTGAAATTATGTCCCAATCAGCATAAACAGGTCTGAAGTGAGGAGAGCGCTAGCAGAGCGACTCTCCTGGGACTAAAATACATGAGCATTTTGTTGGTTCATGGACTTTGTAACATCAGTCTTGGCAGCTCAGCGATCTCTTGTTTACTTGACTGGTTTTCAGCCGTGTTCCAGTTAGATGAAGTTATGGAATACTTAAGTTCCAGAAAGGTGAGGCGCTGCTATCTATTGATGGAGCTGCCAGACAAATTCAAAACAAAATGTGAAGTATGATACAGGCAGTATCCAAATTATGCCCCTCATGCTGAGAACGTTCGTCCGTTATATAGTTCCATTGGCCAAAGGAACTTCTCTCCTGTTGATTTCTGTCATTGTCTTTTCTCCTCTCTCCTTCTTTGATTCCTGCCCCTCACTACAACCTTGTTCCCACTACTTCTCCCTTAGTTCTCGAAGCTGGCCTTGCCCTGGTGAGAAGGAAGCATGCCAGTGTTGCTGCTCATTGTTACCTTCTACACCCCTGCTACTTCCTAGAAGTGTCACCGACCTTCTGCTGCACTTCTTCCCTTTCTTCCATAGAGAACATGCAATGAAATAACTGCAAAGGACAAGCTGGATCTTACCCTGAATTCCCAATGAGTCCTTGTCAAAGACCCAGCCTTAGTACTCCTCCAGTCTACCTGCCACCTATAACATTGACTCTGTGGGAAAATGTGCTTTAAGTTTCAAACACAAAAACTTTCGCACACACCTTTTACATAAATTGGGGGCTTGCTGTATTATGTTATTTATGAAAATAAGAACTTTTGGGGATAATACCTTCAATTTCTACTTGCAACTTTAAATTGTTTATCATACTTAAAGGACAAGCTTATTATAGTGATTTAGCTTCATTTGCTAAAATATTGTTCTTTTTTTTTTTAAAGGATCACAGCGCTATGCCATTTTTTGTTTGTTCAAGATGGAAGCTGAAATCTTTGACACCGACATGGTGATTGTTGATAAAACAATCACTGATATATGTTTTGAAAATCTAACTATATTGTGAGTATTTTTCATCTTCCAAGACTAAAGACAGGCTAATCCCTTATTAAAGAAGGCATAATAGCACATGACTTAAGAATTCCAAGTTTTGAATTATTTGGGAGGCAATAAGACATTTTATTTCAACTGCTTAAATACTTTTCAGGTAGAACACATGCTGAGAAGTGAATCTGAAAATAACATGACTACAGAGAATACATCTTTACATTTAATTTAAGACAGTTCTTAAAATTTTGAATGTAAAATCCTTTATGTGGATGAATGAAAACAATGAATATTTAAAGTTTTATTGAGTTGGACTAGTGTTTATAAAATTAATAAGGGTTCAGTTTCTAGATCTATTCCCATAATTAAATTATACCTTCTTTAGAAGTTCATAAAAAAATAGTCACCTTTGGTCTAAGGCAGGTGCATCTTGAATCCCAAACAAGGAGGCTATTATTATTATTAGGTAAGCTTGCCTCCACAGCAATGCTGAAATGTGAGGACAATAGCCACTTGAGATCTACTGACTTCTCCTTGTTGATACTTTTTCCTCCAATACGACAAAAGAATAAAATAGAATTGTGATGCTCAGGTTTGTTTTACAGGTTTATTGTTGTCAGAATATAGGCCGGATAGGATGCCTTTTGTAAGCTTAAAAATTACTGTTGACTAAAAGGCTTTTCTGTCCCCTTCTATATCCTCTTAGCCCCCATCACTATGTGATTCCTGTTTGTTCCTAGAATCTCAAAAGACTGATAGCAACCTGGCCTTACACTCTTTTCCTCTGCTGTCTGTGGAGCCAGAGAATGACGATAGCTCACAGTTCTCTAGAGTGATAGGCACCATCTTGTTTGCTTACAGGCATTATCATCCCCATTTTACAGATTGATATACTAAGGCTGAGAGAGGTTAAGGGAGTTCCCTTGTGATCACAGAGATAGTCAGTGAAAGAGGCAAGATGGACATCCAAGTTTGGCTTGTACTCTGTGCATTGCTGGGGCTGAGTTGGTCCCAGCATGTGTGGTCCTAGGGTCCTAGGGTCAAGTGTCCTAATGGTAAGTGGTAGGGCCTATACTCTTTAATCCTCTTTCTGTATTACATTTTACACACAGAGAATTCAAAACATAGAAATAACACATTATTGCCAATCAGTAGCAAAAATGGGTGTGACCCAGGCTGTGTCTGTGAATACCAAAGACGTTACCTGGACAGATCAGGCCTTGAAAAATACTCTCCTAAAAATAGTCTGGAAGTTGAGGAGCAAGTATCTTCTTTCAGGTTACCTGAGATTATTTTCACCTCTATTAGCAGCTATTTCTTACCATCTTTTAAGGCCAGAATTAGCCTAAGATTCATTCTATTTTGCTAATGTGGTGAGATAATCACTAAACTTTTTTTTTTGCTCTGAAAACTCAAGTCAGAATCTTTTGTAGGAAAAGAAGCAAATTAAGAGTTATTTTGAAAAAAAAAGCATACTAAAAATCACCCTGGTAAATATTTTAAATTGTTTAAAAAATAAACCCTGACAAATGTTTAAAATGCTTTTTTAGAATGTGCTTTTTGTTATGATAATTGTTTCTTTTAATAAGAATTCAGTATTTATGAATCTCTGTTTTTCCTCTAAATATTGACATTTGTTAGTTATTACTAGGAATACTGTATGTTTAAAAGTTGCCAAATAATAAACTACAGAAATATCTGGAAGTGATTTCTTGGGTTTATCCAAACTATAGATTGTTCATTTAAATCTTAAAAGGCTAAAGCTGCATTTTTAAAGTCTCTAAGGCTTTTCATTTTTCCATCTGCAGGCAGCATCTGCTGCTGCTGATCCACTTATTTAGGTCCTAAGTACATTTTCTTGTTGGTTATAAACACTATACTTTTCTGTTGTAAAGGGGCTGGTGTCATGGAAAAGGCTATCTGGAGTGGGCCAAAGTGGCCTCAGCATATTTCTGTGGTTAATGATATCATCCTCTAGTATGTGTATACTTACCCTCTGAGCACCCCAAATGAAACCAAATAATGAAATATGAATCGTAGCCAGGGGCCAGGGGCAGGCTGGGGGCTGGGCATGGACGATCTTGCCAACATGGCAGGCTTCAGGTGGAAACCTACAAATAAGCCCTTGTGAGGGGGGTATTGACACGAGATCTTTCAGCAAAAGACAGTGTTTTGGAGAAATAGTCACTTCAGGAAATGAGGCATGTAATGTAAATACATTAAAAGTATGTCCATGATAGAAATGACAAAGAGAAATAATAACATGGGAAAAACAAGTTACCCAGACCATTTATGGTTTTGTGGGATTTTTTTATTTTTTTATTTATTTTTATTTTTTATTTTTTGAGCATCTGTTCTGAGCTAAGGTAATCAACTGTGTAAGCTAGTTCTTGGAAACTCCAAAAATTTCAATAACTCATGTTATTAAGGTACTAAATAATAAGGACTTTGAGAATCTGACTTATTAGCATATATTAACATAAGCCGATCTCAAATGTTGATTTAGAGTATCTCTTAAGAAAACATCAATGAGAAATTTCTTGGCTCTTATCAATAGCCTTTTATGTCATTTTTCCATTTTTTTTTAACTGACTAAAACCGCTAAAGTTATGCATGTGTTTGTTTTTAGTAATGAAGCAAGGCCAGACTTTCAGGTAAAGGTGGAGGTCTATAGTTGCTGTGCTGACGAGCTGTCTCTAGCAAATGCGCCGAAAACATTGGCCAAGAGACTGAGAACATCTTTCAGTAAAGCTACAGGGAAAAAAATCAATTGTGGACTTCAAGGAAATGACCTTGAAACTGACTTTCACTTCAACCCAGCAAAATTGTAAGTCTTTTAATTAAATATAGCTATATATATATGTCACAGGATCACTTTTTTTTTTTGCCTCTGTTTAGTATACATCTGTATTTTAAACTGGTTGGGGGAATCCAGATATAGAAAGGAAGCTACTGTTATCCCAATAATTAATTGGCTACGGTACTCCCAATGATAACTTCCTTTGAAGTCAGGAAGTTTAGCGGCTGCCTGTTTTATAGAAGAGGGCTTGGCTGGGGAATCTGAGTGTCTGCATTTCTCATAAGGGTTATCTGTGTGTTGACGTGTTTACATGCTATCTGTCTTAATGGTTGGGGACCCTGCTGCTTCTAGTAGGCAGTAAGTACATTATACTTCTCCTTATTATAAGGTATGCCCTTAGCCAACTTAACAGGGTGTCACTTAAGAAAATGTTCCTTTGTTGGCAAGCAAATGGTTGCCATCAGGTCTGTAATTTTTTTGGCAAACCATTAACGAAGTTGGATGGGTTTAATGTCAGTGGCACTCTGGCATAAGACAATACTTTCACTATAAATTAAAGGCATAGGTCCTGGAATTATCAATCCTGAAAATGTTTAACGAGTTTTCTCTAAGATGAATAACGGCGATGGATATAGCCTGTCTCCTTGTGCCAGATGTAATGTCGCAAGTACTTGACTGTCTTAGAGGGGAGGCGGTAACATGATGGAATGCAGTGGTGTCATTCCAGTAGGAACAGCGGCTGCTAATTAAGGATTCTGTGAATGTTGACTTAGAAAACCATATATTAACATTAGCCGTATTCTAATGTAGCACTCAGGAATGTGGCAGGCCCCATGGGGCCATGTGTATAATGGACGTAGAATTAGGGAGGCCTGGGTTCAAATCCTAGCTGGCACTTAGTAGCTGTATAATTCTGGGGCAATTGCTTCATCTCTCTGTTTCCTCATCTATAAAATGAGGAGTTGGATTGGACGGCCTTTCAGTCCTTTCCAGCTCTAAATCAACCAGATGAAAAAACTGGTGCCCAGGGAGGTTGACCAGCTCACCTCTTAGACCACACTTTTAGGCCAAGTTCTCTGGCTCCAAATTTAGGGTTCTTTCTACTCTACCACACTGCCTCTCTGTCATTAAGAAACATTTTTCTGACTCTCAAAGTAAATCTTTTGTTTTATTTAAGCAAAGAAATTTTTTTAGTGAATTTTTTTTTATTCTGGGGCTTTAAAATTTTTTCTCAATTACATGAAAACACAAAATTTTAACTTTCTTTTTTTAAAATTTTGAATTCCAAGAATTTTTGGCCTCCTTCCCTCCCCTTCCCCCTCCTTGAAAAGGCAAGCAATTTGATATAGATTATACATGTGCAGTCATGCAAATCATTTCCATATTATCCATGTTACCAAAGAAAATGCAGATCAAAAAACCATGAATAAAAAAAGTAAATATATGCTTCAATCTGCATTCAGGTGCCATGGGTTCTTTCTCTGGAGGTGGATAGCATTTGGCATTCTTGGATCATTGTATTCCTGAGAGTAGCTAAGTCATTCGCAGCTGATCCTCATACAATTATTGCTGTTACTGCATGCAGCGTTCTTCTGCTTCCATTCACTCCATTTCTCAAAGCGAAGCTAAAAGAGGCAACTCAAAGCATTGGGAGTAACATCTTTGTCTAGACGTGTCTAAACTCCCAGATGACCATTTGGAAATGGACAAGGGAGTATGTGTGCATTTTAGTAGGTTTGTTCTTTTTTTTTTTTCTATTGGTGAGGCAATCAGGGTTAAGTCACTTGCCCAGAGTCACACAGCTAGTAAGTGTTAAGTGTCTGAGGCTGGATTTGAATTCAGGTCCTCCCGACTCTAAGGCCAGAGCTCTATTCACTTGTTAAAAACAAAAACAAAAACACCAGCACATGATTTTACGGTTAATACTACTTGGAGGAGATAGGTTTTTATAGATTTTTAATACCACTGAAAGCTAGATGTCTAATCCAGTAATACTTTACAAAGTTCATTGGTAAATCCATTTTAACCTGCTGTTGCGTGAGTTCCTACCACCCCAACTTCTACTTTTTTGTATGAACCACTTCACTCATTTGTTAAATGGTCTTTAGGCTTAGAAGTACCAATAATCTTTATTAATATAAACCAGCAATGCGAAGTACAGGAAAAAAATAAGATCATTGAAAAATATGCTAATCCTTCTACTCCTGAATCATATTCTCAGAAGGGAAATGTAATTTTCATTTTCATTAAACTTCATAGACTTTAAATGTGCTAGTGTTTTCAGGTAGGATGATAGACTCATGTAATGGGAGAGCTGGGAAGGACCTCAGGGATCATCTAATCCAGCAGGCATTTTACGGATGACAAATTTGTGGCCCAAAGAGGTGAGGAAACCTGCCCAAAGGCACGCATGGCTAGGCCGCGGTGGAGCTGGGATTAGAGTAGATATTGCCTCCCTGTTGTTCTTCATTTAAAAAAAAAAAAGACTTGACATTCTCCCTCCTTCCTACGCCTCCCTTACCCACTGAGAAGGTATCAGTTATACATGTCAAGTCATGCAAAACATTTCCATATTAGTCATATCACAAAAAGAAAAACAAAAAAAAAATTACTTCCATTTGTACTCTGAGTTCATCAGTTCTCTTTGTGGAGCTGGATGGCATTTTTCTCCTTAGTCCTTTGGAGCTGTCTTGGATCATTGCATTGATCAGAGTAGTCAAGTCTTTCACGGTAGATTAGTATAGCAGTGCTCTTACTGCACCCTCTCACTGTTTGCATCAGTTCATATGTGTCTTTATGCTTTTTCTGAATCCCACAATCATACTCCACCAAATCACATACCACAACTTGTTCAGCCATTCCCCGGTTGGTGAGCATCAGCTCAGTTGTTCTCCAACTCACAGCTTCACCAAAAGAGCTGCTATATTTTTGTACATATACGTCCTTTCCTTTTTCTTTGATCTTTTGTGGGGTACAGACCTACTTAGTGGCATTGCTGGATCGAAGAGTATGCCCTTTGGGCGTAGTTCCGGATTGTTCTCCGGAATGGTTGGACCAGTTCACTGTTCCGTCAGCAATTCATTAATGTACCTATTTTCCCTCATCCCTGGTGTGAGGTAGTACCTCAGTTGTTTTAATTTGCCTTTCTCTAATCCATAATTATTTAGAACATTTTTCATATGACTATAGATAGCTTTGATCTCTTCATCTGAAAACTGCCTGTTCATCACCTTTGACCATTTATCACTTGAGGAATGGCTCTTATTTTTGTAAGTTTGACTCAGCTCCCTATATGAGAAATGAAGCCTTTATCAGAGAAACTTGCAATAAAATTTTTTGATATTGCTTCATTGTCTATGGTACCTTTTAATGAGATATTGTTTCCTTCCTTATCTCTTAGGTTTCTTTTTTGCTTTGTCTGAGATCAGGATTGCTACCCCTGCCTTTTTTACTTCAGCTGAAACACAGATTTCTGCTTCAGCCCTTCATTTTAACTGTGTCAGGTGTATTTCCTATAAACCACATTGTTAGATTCTGATACTTGCCACCCCTCTCCCTAAACTCCCCCACCCATTCTCCCTTCACTATAAAAGCTCTTCCTTGCGGGCCTATTATGTGAGAATTTTTCCCATTCCACCTCTCCCTTTACACTTTTTCCAGTGCATCTCTCTCACCCCTCACTCTTTTTTTTTTTTTTGGAGCTCATCCCAACGTAATTGACTCACATTCATGCCTTCTGTCTATGTAGACTCCTAACTGCCCTAATAATGAAGTTGTTAGGAACTAGGGGACTGTACCATCTTCCCATATAGGAACAATTATTGAGTCCCTTATGATTACTCTTTCCTGTTTACCTCATTTCTTCAATTTGAATGTCAGATTTTCTATTCAGCTCTGGTCTTTTCATCAGGAATTGTTGGAAATCTTCAATATCAATAAAAATATTGTTAAATACTAATAAATTAATATTTGTTAAATATTAGTTTAACCTTGTGTTTTCTCTTTTCTGTTTACCTTTTTATGTTTCTCTTCAGGCTTGTATTTGACTGTTCAGCTCTGTCTTTTCATCGGGAATTTAATTTCATTAAATGTGTGTTTTTTCCCCTGAAGGATTATATAGTCAATTTTTCTGGGTAGGTTATTCTTGGTTGTAATCCTAGCTCCTTTGCCCTCCAGAATATTGTATTCCAAGCCCTCTAATCCTTTAAAGTGGAAGCTGCTAAATCTTATGTGATTATGACTGTGGCTCTGTGATACTTGAATTGTTTCTTTCTGGATTCTTGCAGTATTTTTCCTTGATCTGGGAACTATGGAATTTGGCTATAATATTCCTGGGAGATTTCATTTTGGGCTGTCTTTCAAGATGTGATCAGTGGATTCTTTGCATTTTTGTTTTACCTTCTGGATCTAATATATCAGGGCAGCTTTCCTTTGTAATTGTTTTTTTAATAAATTTTATTTTTTAATCATGGCTTTCAGTTAGACAAATAATTTTTAAATTATCTCTCCTTTAGATCTTTTCCAGGTTAGTTGTTTTTCTGATGAGATTTCACATTTTTTCCTATCTTTTTATTCTTTTGACTTTATTGTTTCTTGATGTCTTATGGAATCATTAGCTTCCATTTGCCCAATTCTAAATTTTAAGGAATTATTTTTTTCAGTGAGATTTTGTATCTTTTTTTCCATTTGGTCAATTTTGCTTTTTAAGGCATTTTTTTCTTCAGTAAAATTTTTTACCTTTTTCCATTAGGCCAATTGTTTTTTAAGGTGTTATTTTCCTCAGTATTTTTGTGCCTTCTTTTGGCAAGCCATTAATTCTCTTTTCATAATTTTCTTGCATCACTCATTTCTTTTCCCTATTTTACGTCTACCACTTTTATGTCGTTAACTCTTTAGTCGTTATTGTTGGGCATGTATCCAACTAGCATTTTTCTTTAAGGCTTTGCTTGTAGGTGCTTTCATATTATTGTCTTTCTTCTGTGGTCTTCTCTGCTCCCACGGTAGCTTTTTGTGGTCCAGTTCTTTTT